AAAAAAAAAAAAAAAAAAATAGAACTTGAAAAGGGCCGTAGGGAACTGCCTGGCCCCTTCCCACCGGTCTCATTCCCGCCCCCCGCCCCGACAGCCAGCTGTGGACGAGACAGGACACACCTGTGTTGCACAACCCTCCCCGTCTAAGAGCTAAACGTGCCCCGTGAGTGAGAACTAAGTCCCCAAGTCTCTTGGGTCCAAGAAGGCATCATCAAGCCAATGGCTGAAAAAGCCAGGCCGAATTCACTTCTGCAGGCTGGATACCCCAGACACCAGCACTCGCTTTCACACGGGGTCAGAACTGACCGTGCACCTGGCGACTCCGAGGGCTTCCAGCAGGGAGGCGGCTCTCCGCCCGCCATCGCCGCGGTCCCCTCACCCAACAGAGGCCCCCATGCTCCCACCCCAGGACCCCGCTAACTGGGCCTTGGCCTTGGGAGAACCCTGGACACACAGGCTCTTTCTGCCAGGAGCTCAAGCCTGCCTTCCGCTGTCCCCGCCTGACCCACAGAAACACCCCCAATGTGCACAGGAGTGAGACCCGCCCAGCACCCGACAGCAGCAGCCACCCGGGAGGCCGCCTGGAACTTACGGCTCTTTCTAGGGGACTGCTGGGGGTGTCTGACACTGAGTCTTTTTAAACATTTAAACGATGGGTCCAGTAACTTAGTCTCGCCTACTCCGTGGAAGGCCGGGGATCAGACGAGGTCAGAGACCTCGGAGGCCAGGAAGGGTGGCACTCGCCGGAAGAGGTGTGATTGCCATGGTGTTGTGGACCATGAGAGCAGAAAGCCCTGGGAGTGACATTGCGGCTTTCTGGATGGTCACTTCTGCATCTGGGCCAGAATTGGCATTCAGCTGAGATGCTGGCAGTCCCCTCCACACGCATGTACACAAACACAAACACACACACACACACACACACACACACACACACCGGTTTCCATTTCTTCCGCATCCTGTGCCAGGGGCCTCTATTGACTGGCACGAGTACCTTCCTCCTGAAACGTCACCCCAGGGAGCCAGGGCCAGGTGCCTGTCCCAGCCAGGCCCAAAGGGTAGACCCGGAGGGAGAATGGCCGCCCAGCCTGTCCTCGCCACACCAGACTAACAGAGCCTGAAAGGAGCACACCCATCCTGGCCTGCGAGTGGCCCGGGACCTCTCCGGGCCTGGAAGGCTGCTGTCCAGCTGCAGGGGCGGGATTCTCATTCATTCACTGAACAGTCCCGATCACCTGCTGCGTGTCAGACGTCAAAGGTGCTGTTTACTTCCACCATGACCGAGAGCAGAGGCCACCGTTTCGGTTTGTTTTGTTCTGAGTCAGAGTCGTACTCTGTTACCCAGGCTGGAGTGCTGTGGCATGCGCATAGCCACCGCGGCCTCGACCTGCTGGGCTCCGGCGATCCTTCCGCCTCAGCTTTCCAAGTAGCGGTAACCACAGGCGTGCACCACCACGCCCGGCTCATTTTTTGATTTACTGGTGAGACAAGGTTTTGTCCAGTCGCCCAAGCCGGTCTCGAGCCCCTGGACTCAGGCAATCCTCTTGCCTCTGCCTCCCAAAGTGCTGGGATGACAGGCGTGAGCCACCACACCCGGCTGAGGCCAGCTTTT